AGCAGTCCCTGTATTTATTTGGTTTAGGGTTGATACCAACATTTGCAGTATGGCACACCACTACTCGTAGCTCCTACCCTCTTCTCCTTCTCTTTTGCACTCTTCATCTTAAATAGCAGACACAGTGGGTGCCAGGATCACACTCACATCACCACTGGAGAAGCTTATTTGCAGATTTTAAAAAGTGCGGCCCCACTTTTTTTCTGGAGTAACTCAAGACAAATCCTCATTGATGATGTACCAGTGTAGCAGGAAGGAAAGAAGGAAACATGTCATGTAAAAAAAAAAATGTGGAATTTACAATCTGCCTTCTATCAGATATCCGAAGAGCCAAAAAAGGATACGGCTAGTAGCCAAAAAAAAGCAGGCGCTTGTAAGATAAGTCAAATCAAGTAACTATCATCTCATTCTTTCGCATGCAATCTCCCAGCGGATCTTCTAAGCAGCAGGACTGTATCATAGTGTGTGCTCTTCATTATTTACAGCGCATTCATTCCAGTGAACCCACAGTGAGGATAAAAAACCCTGCGACGCTACCACTGTGATAGACATCAGAACAGTGGCTAAATTAGCAGAGTTCCAGCCTCACTGTAAACTACACCTTCATAGATTAGATTACACGTTTAAATCACTTTATATCTGAGTGTAAGTGTGTCACCGTGATAACTCCCTGCCTAAATACCAATCTTGTGCAGTGGTTGCACTTTTAATCCAACCTTTCCATCTGCAATCCCAGATGAGATGGCATGCAATTAACTCAGGGGGTAAATACACTATTGGGGATTAGTGAGTCACTCTGACTTCCCCTGCTTCCTCTGTGACAAGCAGCAATTCTGCAACATCATTAGTACAACATTATTCACTTAAAGCACATAATATATTCCGTTAAATGCTCTTTTATTAGCTCGACCGGACCTGGAACGCTAAAACAAGCTTAAGAATTAATGATATGATCACATCATCGCGTGAGATGCTGCGTTCAAAAGAAGAAGACAAGTGAAAGAAAGCTAGGAATAAAAGGCTACAAACTGTTAGAGGCCTGAGCCGGTTCATTAGTATGTCTGACTGAAATGCTCCCAGGCTGGAGCACTTTGATGCGGAGTCCAGTGAGCAACCAAGTTACCTCTGAGCTTACCATCTGTCTGCCTGCCGCAAATAAACAGTTCAGAAGCAGAGGGAGGCTGGATGTTCCTCATCACACAGTAGAAGTGGGTGGAACGATCCAAATATGGAGAGTGTCGATACCAATGCTGGTATCAGTATTAGTTTGATACTAGTGTAATAGGATCGATATTTAGTTTCCATCCTCTAAATTGAGTATACAGCCCATTGAACTGAACAGGGGAATAAAAACTTTTTTTCTGTTGACTGCCAAGTCAGTTTTATTTAGAACATTAAAGAACATTTAACCAACAAAAGCTGACCAAAAGTGCTTTAAAGACAGTCACATATACATCTTAGGTTTTCAAAATACATGAAAAGCTAAAAGGTGTATTGTATTGTCTTAACTCACAATAATGGGGGGTAAAAATCATAAATGTTTTCAGAATTTGCAAATTGATGATGATTCATCTCATGAATCATGACACACTGCTCTGCCCAACACAAACGGCCTTTATGGGTCAAAAATATTGGTATCGGTATTGTATGATAATACCAGGCATGTATTTATATTGGTATCAGATCGATGTCACAATTTGCAGTATCACAGCGTCCAGTCTCTCTCTCTCTCTCTGTGTGTGTGTGTGTGTGTGTGTGTGTGTGTGCTGTGTACACCTGGAGGCTGCTATTGCAGGAGGGCAACCTCATTACATATCCTAACACTTCAACATTCCAAATTAGTCACCGCTCACTCAAATATCCGCTTCTTCTTTTCATATTTCTGGTGTGAAGAGATATTGCCGGACCGACAAAGAGGATTCAGAATCACAGTTTTGAGACCAAAACTGTTCTGCCCTGCATCCTCAGCAAGTATCACCAATCAGTTCCCAAATGAGTGATAGTGATAATTAGGCGCATAAACTCTTCTCATACAGTATTCACGTTAATTATCCTGTTGTTGTATACCAGATTGGAGCACAGAGGAGATAATGAGATCGGAAGACAAAAGGAACTTGAGGACAGTCTGCATTTTAAACAGAGCGAGACATGACGAGGCCTAATTAGACGAGGCTGCTGCAAAGCTGGGTGAAAAACAGACGCTGTTTTGATGTGATTTTTTTCCTCCACCCATCAACAATAAACTCTCAGTGGGAATTTACTGAGCGCGAATATGGAAGGATGAACAGCAGCTACAGCCTCTGCTGACAGAAGATCAGTTGAAAATCCAACTACTTAAGTGATCATTTTTATGCGTGTGTGTTTTTCAAAAGAAGCTTCATATCCAACAAAAATCACCACCATGGGCTACATGCATGAATGGGACAGCAGTTAACTGCTAACCGTTCACAGCAGGTAGAACAGGTTACAGTAGCAAGTGGAATGTGTTTCCTCTATGCCAAACCTGTTTGTTGTTTTTTTTTTTTCTTTTTCCGGGGACTTGGAGATCTCTGCTTTGGATATCTGTGCACGAGGCTCTTTCTGAGAGCCAGAAAGGCCTTCTCACACCCCTGACCTCACTGAATACTTTAACATCTGCACATAAAATTTGTCAGCGTTCGCCTTTTTTTTTTCTTTTTTGCTACATATAGTTTATTTATTTATTTTACAATATAAAGTTGAATCTCAGGCTTCACACGTGTGACCCGCGCGTTTACTCACCGTCTCTCCGGGGCGCCTGGCGCGCCGAAGCATCTCTGATGGCATGAGCCCACCTCTCAGCCTCCTGGAGGTTGGCGAGCGGGTCCTGGACCAGTGCGACCCGAAAGCACTGCTCCACTCTGTGCCGGGTCACTCCGGCGCTCATCCAGCGCCTCTTGAACGGGTAGAAATAGGCTGTAAAGTAAGCGCCGACGTCCGCGCTGTCCGGCCCTCTGTACGCCCGACAGCCGACACAGTCGGTCAAGTTAAAAACCACCTTAGTCCGGCCGGGTGAAGAGGAGATTCTTTGAATGGTCAGCGCGCTCTCCGTCAAGCTCACCGAGTAGCGGACCCTGTCGTTGAGCATGTCGGTGAACTCCCCGTACAGCACGCCCACGAACCCATTCCGCTGGCGGGATGGGTCCGGATCACAGGCGTCTTTCTCCATCCCGGACGGAGAGTGCGACGCGTCCCGGAGGCCGGTGAGCGGATGGCGGTGCGGTGCAGACTCTGATTCTACCAGCCTGCTGTGGGACCCTTTAAGCGTAATAACAGCAGCTTGCTTAGTTCAGAGTCTCTCCCTAGTGACTGGGAAGGGGAATGGCAGTGATGGAGCTGGAGGAGAGCGCAGAACGAACCGTCCCAACCGCGTCTCCTTCTCACACTTTATGAAACACTTTGCACCTTATCTGTGCAGCAGATTTTATCTAGTGACACCAAGTCTTACACAATATTTCAAAACTAGTAGGTCCATTTTAAGACACTAACTGTGTGTCATTTGACTCACAAACTCCAGACTAAAATTCAACAGGCGATGTCTCCTATTTTGTTTTATTTTATTTTTTTCCTGCTTGAATGAAGTCACAGATGTTTGGATGACACACCAGAAGTAAACAGACTTGTCAGGATCCTATGCTTTGATAGTTTATTACATGAAAATTGCCCCTGCACAAGCGTATATGTGTAAAAGAAGTGTTCAAGTAAAATGAAAAAATAAGTAAACATATACTACAGTCCATAGAAATACTCTATTACAAGTAAAAGTCCAGCATTTATAACGAAAAAGTATAGCATCCAGTAAACTATTTATGACGAGTAACTCGCTCATTTAACCAGCTTTACACTGCTGGTCATCTAAATCTATAACCAAACATCATTTATTACTTTATTTCTATTAGTATTATTGATAAGAATCTGCGACAATAAATAGCAACTAAATGTTTTAAAGTTCAAAAATATAGAACATTAGACAATGTGATCACATGACCTCGTTTTACACAGTAACCGTAAGCGGACCACAATATCACCAGCTAGTTTTTAGCTTTATTAATATTATTGTTGCTGTTATTATTATTAATAACCATGGATGGTAATTGGGTTGTTACACATTTTTAGCGAGAAACAATGAAAAAAAAAAAACTTTTCAACCACACCCAATCACGGTCACGTGGCATGTGACGCGTACGACACATAAAAGCGTTATCACGCGAGATTTCCGGTCTTCTTCTCCAGGCCGTAGATAAGCGCGAGCTGCTTTCTTGACTTTCGCCATGCAGTTCATTTTTGTTAAATTATATTCATGTATACATGTTGAGGTTGCTGCTGGTGACCCACCGTGAGCAGGTGAGACTTTGAGGAGCTTTTAATGAGACCTCAATATGTGGAAGTTTTAATTGTGCGCGTGTGCTAGCTGTTAGCTGCTCTTTAGCCGGGTGAACACGTGCAGTGAGTCCACGCAGTCGAGGACTCAGAAAGTGGTAGAATGAGCGTTTCGTTTAAGTAAGGAAACATGAATCATGTTTACTGGCACGCAGAATAGAAGCACGGTAAGTTTGATTATTTACGTTTTTGACGAACCATGTTATGTTGCTTGTGTCACGTTACAGCCAATCACTGATTTAACTTCTCATACAGGTTTGGATGATGCAGAGGGACTCATTTGTCTGCCTGCAACAGGGCGAAGTTTTATTTCCTGATTAAAGGTAAAACTGGTTAACAGTTGTATGCATTTGTGTCAGTGCAGTACACATGATGAACTTGTTATCCCTGTCCGAGAGAACAAAACCTTGTGGAAAGCCATGGTATCTGAGCTGGTGTGTTTATTTGTGAAACCCACATGCTGCTGATGGATCCTCCCTGATGACGTGTGTTTTTTGCAGATTCGTGGCTCATCTGTTCTCCTTTCCACTGAGTGCCTAAGGAAGGAACCACAGTCAAAAGGTTTGTATTGCACTGGATCTTGTGATCTCTGTTGCCACTTTTTCAGTGATGAAAACTGCTGCATAGGAAGTGCCGTCTGATGCGATAACTGACGATAGAAAGCTGTTCTGAGAATCTGCAAAGCTCTTTGCTTTCAGCTTGTGTGATCTGAGCACTCGGTCATCCACGTGTTGTTTCCTGGTACAGGTGCTGTAGCAGCAGAAGAAAGGATGAAGATTTTCTGGGCTTGAAGACAGCAGGTCCTGAGCAGGTAAATCATGCAAGAGTTGTGATTTTTAAAGTCAAGCCAGTGATGATACAAGTTATCCCTGTCTGAACTCAAGTGTGGAGTCATGGTAACCTGAGGCTTGACTGCTGATGTTTTTATAGCAAAGTTTTTCTTGAATATTGTATTGATCATGTTGTAATTTAGTGTTATGGTCTTATTTATTATTTTATTTTCTAACTTGCAGATTGAGCTGCTGTGGAAGGACGGAATACCAACCTCAAGTGTGATGCCAGAGGAGACTATTAAATTCAGTATTTGTCTTTATGAAAGATGAAAACCATGTTGGATCAGAAACGTGTTTTTTAATAAAACTACGAGTTATAAAATTGAAGTATAGAAAGTAACGTGATTCCATATGTGCTGGGAGGAAAGCCCAGCATGTGTTGGTCAATCTGTGCTGAAAGATCTGTAAGATTTCTTTTTCAGATTTTCTAGAAAGAACTGCTCCTCTTGTAGGTATTCACGGTCCTGTTGGGGGCAGAAAAACAAAATCCAGTCAGTCAAAAATCTGAACACTTGAATTCTTGACAAATGATTTCAAGCATTTCTGGCCAAATAGTGATTGTATTAAAAAGCTGTGTGCACTGTGATGCCTCATGTTGACTGAGTTTCCAAAGTGCAATAAAAGCCTGTACTGGATCATAACACTTGTGTTTATCTGACGTCATTTCTTTTGGATTGTTTGCTGTGGTTCCATTTTTCCCACCAACAGTTTAGCAACAGTTACCAAAATAAAAGATATGAACAAACCTCAATGCAATGAATAACTGAAGACTTGTTATTAAAATCTTAAATAGACTGTACTGGTTTATATATTCTTTCAGTTTGTCTAGGATAAATTTAAAACTAAATGGATTAATAGGTTTCTTAAATGTGAAAATTGCTGTCTTTGCTACTGAGGCCTGTACTGTCCTGGTGACTCCAGGGTTCTATTGGTCAGATGCTCAATGCCACCCTTTCCATGTGAAACCCTGGGTTGATAACCAGCTTTGCATGACTATTTATCCCAATTACACATGTTGGGGTAAGGGGACCCAGATAATGGAGAGATACGGTGAACTCTCCTTATAGAACAGTCCCAGGTTTTTTTGAAGGTTTCTTAATTTTAGGTCAGTAAATTGATACATATGGAAATAGGAAAGCATTGGGCTGGTTTTAACCTTCCAAACGTCGCTGCCCATTCTGATTTTGTTTGGCCAGAGCAGACGTTTGTGTTCAAAAGAGTGGTAAACAGACTGGTTTTCTACTCTACCTGAGCCCCAAGGGTACTTTGTCATGCTGCCTGGAGCAGTCAGGGATCAAACCAACAACCTTCCAATTAAAAGACAACCTGCTCTACCCTGATGATCCACAGCCACCCCAAGGAACATTAAAAATGTAAGTATAGCACGCTGCTGTACAGAAATAAACAGAGGCCATGAAGTCTATGATGTGCAATTTCTTTGGGCAGGTTTTGGGCCAGTTACTCAGTCACACACATTGGCTGCTACTTCTGCACAGAGGTGAATGTGGAATTGGAGCCAGGGTGGTGGGAAGAAGATGTGTTTGGCTTCACTGAAATAGACTTCATCCAAAAACATCCACAAACAATCAGACCTGTGTCTTAATTTAGGATCAAATAAGGTTGGCTCAAATAAGGGTAAAAATTTCACATGTAAGGAAAAATAGAGCATGTGAGCTGCTGTTTGTCAATTCTGTTTTAGTGATATTTGACATTTGCAACTAAAAATGTGCTCACCTTTTCTGCAGTATATCTCCACAGAGCCAGATTGGCCTGAAGTGCCATAGACTGAGAGCTGGTAAATGAAACTGGAGGAGGAACATTTAGGGTTGCAGGCAGCTCTGAAACTGAGTCTGTAGGGACAGTAACAAAGGCCAATTAGAGATCACAGAAAATGTGTTACTTTAAGCTAGTAGAGAAGACCAACATTCAGCCTCACCTGTTAAAACGGGGGCAATAATTTGTGGTAGAGGTGTAAGAGGAGGGTTTTGCCCCAGCCTCTCTGTATCCTTATGCAGGTGACTTAATCGTATTTGCTCCTGTAACAACAAGTGTTAAGATAACCACCACATTCATTCATTTATGTGCTTCATAAAGTGACACACATACCTTTAAAATCCGTTGCTCCTGTTGCCTCAGGTGCTCTGTTTGGGTGTGAATATTTCTCAGTCGCGCCTCGTGCTCCGCCTCCAATCGTTTCGCCTCCTGCAATGCTCGTTCCCCCTCCTCATACTTCTCTGCCGCGAGCTGTGAAGAACACGGTGTAGGGAAAATATGAACACACGCTGGACAAAAAACATGTCCAACACACTACACACAGGGATCGGTGTAGTGTGAAATTACCTTGCTGAAAGCCTCGACCTCCTGGGCTCGTGTTTTGAGTCTCAGGGCCGTGCTGCTTAGTCTTTCTTTCTCTCTGTCCAGCTCTTCTCTAAGTTCTTCCAGAGCCTCTCGCTCCCGTGCCACAGCAAGTTCCTTCTGTTTCAGCTCGGCCATGCGAAGCTTCAAGTCAGCTTGCTCCTACAAAAGGTTTTTACATTTTTTGTGCCTTTTCACGACTTGTGTGGGCTAAAGAGCTGACCTAAAGCTCAAGCTCACCTGTGCCAGACTTATGATGGAGCCCTCCCTCTTCTCCAACAGACTGCTGACCTCACGCTCAGCCCTCTCATGCCTCTGCTTCTCCTGGGCGTGGAAGAGTGCCCACTCGGCCGCCAACTTCCTCCTCTCATCCGCGCAGTGCTGCATCACTGACTTCTGCTCCTCCAGTAACGCGCTCTGAAAACACAGAAAAGGCCAAAGAAGCAAGTGGCGGTCAAGCTGCGCCAAGTTGGTGCAAAACACCTGTGCTGCTGCTGCAGATGTTCGTTGGCCTCACCTTGGCTCTCTCCAGCTCCTCTCGCTCCACGCTGATCTGCGTGGTGAGGACACACCGCTCTTCCTCCAGGCTTCTTTGGGTCGACTCGGCTTTGGCCTGCTCTGCTGTCATCTTCCAGCGCTCCTAAAGCACGCAAAATTAAATGGCATCTTCAGTCTTTAATGAGAAGAAGGTCAGTTTATATTATAGGTGGTATTTTAGCTGTTTTCCTCACACTTATAAAATATAGCTTAAAAATGAATAAGTAGGATGCTCTGAGCATCTTAGAGAACCTGCCAAAGGACAGAAGACCACTGTTTATGACTGTGGTTGCATGTTTTTTGTCAACATCGTACATCAAAATGAGCTTTGGGCTTTATTTCTTCAGCATTAAAAGCAGTTTTTTTGGATGTGAGGCTTCTGGCAGTTCGGAGATCAGCTCAGTGCGGTTGGGAGGCATGTCTGGTGCATACTTTCTGTCTGTGTGAGGCTCTGCAGACGCAGGACGACCATCTTCTGTCTTTTTGTTCTTCTCAGTCTGCGCAGCTACTTCTATTGTTATGATTTCAATTAAACATGAACCGCGCTTTTGTTCGTTCGCCCATGTTTGGTTCATCAAGCGCTCGGCCATAATTCTACAAATTCCAAATACTTAGTTGTCTCTTGATGTGAGGTAAAAATGATTCTGCAATATTTCTTAATATGCAAAGACAATGTTTAGAAATCTAAAGTATGACATTTTTCGTTGATGCACTACTGCAGCAGGTCCCGGTGTATGATCTTGGTCTGTTACTGTCATTTCTCATAATCACCTTCTCAAGCTGTCTCTGCTGCTCTTTAAGCTGAGTGTCCATCCTGGAAATAATGTCCTTCAGGTACGCTTTCTCCTCTGCCATGGCTTTCTGCTGCTGGGCCAGATGACCCTGCATTGCTAAAACGCACGCACACGCACAC